AGGGAGAGAGAGAGAGAGAGAGAGAGAGAGAGAGAGAGAGAGAGAGAGAGAGAGAGAGAGAGACAAAGGGAGAGAGAGAAAGAGACAGAGAGAAACAGTGAGAGACAGAGGGAGACAAAGAGAGACAGAGAGACAGAGAGAGAGTGAGAGGGAGAACGTGTGTGTGTTTGTGTATGTGTGTGGGTATGCACATGTGTTTGTGCGCGTTTGTGTATGTGTGTGAGTGTGTGTATCATGTATGTGTGAGTGCATGTATGTATGGACAATAAATGTATGTATGTGAGAGTCTCTGCAAGTGTGCATACATGTGTCGTCGCGTGTACATGCATGTGCATTGTGTGTGAGCTGGGTACATGTATGTACATGTATATATTTGTGTGTAATCTGATCTGGGTGCCTGTGTGTTTCTATGTGTTGTTCACACAAAACAAAAGTACCTGGCCCCTCTGAGAAAAGCTTCCTCTGTGGACGAGGCTGGGGCTTTGCTCTTGGAAGATTTGCTCTTTGACCCTTGGCTTTTGACCACACTCTTTGATGTGGGGATCACTTCCACCTTGTTGGAGATCCTGGTTTGGAGAAGTGGTGAGGGGGTGGGGGTGAGGGTACAAATATAGGGTAGAAATAGTTTCTTGTCGTGTCGGTGGTTTACTGGTTAAGGCTTCGGTCTCCTAACAAAAAAGGTCAACATATAATATGTTTACCCCAAAACGTCACTGTGCATGTTTACACCAATATGTCACCTCCTGTATTTATAGCAAAACATCACTATGTATATTTACATCAAAAAGTCGCTATGTATGTTTACACCAAAAAGTCACTATGTATGTTTACATCAAAGCATTACCTCGCATATTTACGCCAAAACGTCATTATGCATGTCTACACCCCCAAAAAATATCACCGTATAAGTTTACACCAAAAGTCACCTACTCCCTGAACACTAAAAACCACTACTGACCATATATCAACAGCTAAATGAGATTTAAACCTCAACCCAATCCCCAATCATACCTCGCTCTCTGTCTGGCAGTCTCCGTGGTCTTGCCGCTAGATGGCAGCACCGGCACCACTGCGTTGTCTTCGGGCGGAACCTCCTCGGGTTTTTCCGGAAACTCAGCGAACTGTACAGTCGAGGCGGCCCCGAATCTCCGTGACGTAATGGCCGACAGAGCCTTGATGGTAGACCTCTCGGAGGAGTGTGTGGAGGCAGAGTCCAGGGAGGAGGGGAGGCCGTAGCTCTGTGTGTCTGTGCAGGGAGGGAGAGAGGGAGTGAGGGTGAGAGGGTGAGGAGAGGGGGTGAGAGAGAGTGTGAGGAGAGAGGGTGAGGCGAGAGGGTGAGGCGAGGGGGTGAGGAGAGAGGGTGAGGAGAGGGGGTGAGGAGAGGAGGTGAGAGAAGGTGAGATATTGTTGGAAAAGGTGAAAGGTGAGATATGATGAGATATCGAGAGATGGTGTGAGATAGAATGGGAAAGGTGAGATAGGGTGGGAATGGGTTGGGGTAGGGTGAGATGGGTTGAGTAAGGAGAAATAAGATGAGATAGGGGAGATAGGGTAGATATGGTGAAATAGGATGAAATAGGGGGAGTTAACGTGGAAAAGCATGAAATATGTTGAGATAACGTGGAATATGGTGAGATATGGAGGGGGTAGGATGGAATAGGGAGAGACAGGATGAGATAGGGAGAGAAAAGATGAGATACGGGGAAATAAAATGAGATAGGATGAAATAGGAAGAGATAGGAAGATATAGAATGAGGAAGAATAAGATACGATGCAATAGGGTAAGATATGATTGAGTAAATAAAATGAAAAGAAACAGAAACTTTTGGAAACAAAGTGTACACATATCTGAAACAATTGGAGCTAGTTGGAACGAACTACATGTACTACCTATCATGCATATCTGTCCCCCTGTACTTTACACTCACCAAAGAACACCCTAGTAGGCAGGGAAAGGGCGTGGCTTCCGGGACGCTGCCACCGGTAGAGGGCGCTGTAGTTGAGCTCTCCCCAGATGTCGTCATAGTCATACAGATCATTTCCGCTCTGGTCTCCGCTCACGCTGAGGGTGGGAAGGAGGGAAAAGTTTATCAAATAAACACCCACATATATGTACATGTAATACTTTTCCCTAACATATATTATTACTATTGTATATTACATACATACGAGTACATGTCAATGTAACTATTTACCCGAGTGTAAAGTTGCAACTGTTTGTGTGATTGTACAAATGTAACTGTTTACTTTCTGAGAGTAGACAGGTAACTGTTTATCTAAGTGTAATATTGTAACAATTTTCCTGAGAGTTTATATTGGAACAGTTTACCTGAGAGAAGAAATGTAAATGTTCTGTTTACACAAATGTAAAGATGTTACCGTTCATGTCACTATTATATTCGAGTACATAACTTTTTATATTATTATCGTAAATTACATATACGAGTACATGTCAATGTAACTGTTTACACGAGAGTATAAAGTTGTAATTGTTTGTGTGATTGTGCAGATGCAACTGTTTGCCTACTGATACTAGAGAGGTAACAGTTTTCATAAGTGTAGAGATGTAACAATTTACCTGAGAGTAGAGATGTAACAGTTTATGTAAGTATAAAGATGTAACAATTTACCTGAGAGTAGAGATGTAACTCTCCGTGGCCCTGCTGTAGCCCCTCAGGTTGCGACTACTGCCCCGGCTGGCCGACTGACGGTCAAACTCCAGGGGTCGGAGTAACAACTTGGCCATCTTCAACTCTCGGAACAGTTGAGTTCTGGGGAAATAGAGGGAGAGGACGAGTGAAAACATGGCAATTTTAGATGTTGGGAAAAAAGGAGAGATTG